AACAAGCTCTGTGTAAAAAAAAAAAAAAAGATGCCTCGAGGTGGCGCCATAAAAGTGCTGATTTCGTCGTTTGAACGCAAACATCATGTTTTGTTAAAACAGTTAAATTCCTTGAGGTGGCGAACGATTTTATGAAAACGATCGCTTATTTGTGTGCGTTTAAGCAGGAAACTACACACTGAGATGCACGTGCTCACTAGGAATATCGAACCCCAAACCTACCGCTCAACCACTTGGGGGTGGGATGGGGAAAACATTTGTGTTTGTTAAAATATATATCGTTTGGTGAAAAATAATAATATATTCCTAAATACTTCCATGTCTTGATTACACTTGATTGTTTTCACAAAGAAATACTTTAGTGTGTAGGTACTGTACAGGCGAATTATTTATTAATTAACATGTGAAGACAAACATCAGTAACGGGGGGTACTTTGAAAAGTATTTTGATGGATTTTGTGCCTCAGAAGAAACAAGACTACCTGGAGATAGATACTGGTTCTGTATGAATCTTTAATTTATTGTTTTGGATGAAGACGTATTTTAAACAATGAATAACATATAGTTTTGTCAAGTTCAAGACGTATCTTATATATTTTATATGAGATTTTAACATGGAAGGATTTGTAATGATATTTAGAGGGTTTTATCTTTAAGAATGGGATTGCCTTGTTAACTACACATGTTGTTACCGTGGAGTTTGTTTTTTTTCTCCGCCGTTTGTTCAGTATAAGATATGTAGCTGTATTTAACGACTGTTAGTGGGTTGTTCTGATTCAGGGACTTTTTAAATGTTTTTTAAACAATTACTGCCTTGTTCTTAAACTTGCATCTAGATGAAAATAAGATATTTCTCTCAACTGTTTACTCGGAATTGAAAGCCTACAGGAACTGACATAGATAAACTCATGTAGAGACAGATTGTACAGGTTTAATGGCCGATAACCATAGTGTACAGCTAAAGTCTTCTTTGCATGTGTTATTTGTGGAGTACTTGAACAAAATGAACTTAGTTATATGTACAGAACATGGCTTAGTTACCAAATTAGGGATAGGAAGATGTTATTAATTATTATATTGTTATATCATTTGAATAAACGCTAACGTTTATTTGTCTCGATTTTAGCTTTCCGTGTATGTGTGTATTTCAAGTACCTAATACCTTTCGACTTAAACTTGTGATTGTATTATTATCTTAAAAGTGTTTTTGTAATTTTAATAAAACGCACAGAATTAATTTGAATTGTTGGAAGTTTTTTATACAACAACCTATACACTTAAAATTTACGAGAATTATCCACTCGGTGAAAGTAATAAAACAGAAATACCAACTACTCATCTAACAACCTTAGTTCCTTTAATTACTCTGTTGCATAATCCCATTAGTATCCCTAGTAAATAGTCCCTATAATAACCCTAGTAAATAGTCCTTTTAATAACCATAGTACATTGTCCTTCCAACGAACCTGTTGCTTAGCGCCTGTAAACTTACTACAATTCCTATTAATAACCCTAGTTCATTGTACCTTTCATAACTCTAGTACATACTCCCTTTAATAACCCTAATTCATAGTCCTTTTAGTAATTCTAGTTCATAGTTTCTTTAATAACCCTAGTTCATAGTCGCTTTGATAACTCTAGTACATATACCTTTTAATAACCCTAATTCATAGTCTTTTAATAATCCTAGTTCACAGTCCCTTTGATAACCCTAGTTCATAGTCTCTTTAATAACCCTAGTTCATAGTCCCTTTTAATTAAAGGGACTATGTACTAGAGTTATTAAAGGGTCTATGAACTAGGGTTATTAAAGAGCTCTGTATTAAGGTTACAGGAACTAAGCAACACGTTCGTTAGAAGGACTATGCTCTATGGTTATTAAAGGGACTATGAACAAGGATTATTAAAAGGACTATGAACTAGGGTTATTAAAAGGACTATGTACTAGAGTTATTAAAGGGAATATGAACTAGTGTAATTAAAGGGAGTATGTACTAGAGTTATGAAAGGTACAATGAACTAGGGTTATTAATAGGAATTGTAGTAAGTTTACAGGCGCTAAGCAACAGGTTCGTTAGAAGGACAATGTACTATGGTTGTATCCCCTAATTCATAGTCCCTTTAATAATCCTAGTTCATAGTCCCATTAATAACCTTAATTCATAGACCCTTTAGTACCCCTTGGTAAATAGTCCTTTTCATAACCCTAGAACACAGTCCTTCTAACGAACTTGTTGCTTAGCTCCTGTAATCTTAGAACAAGTCCCTTTAATAACAATAAAAAAAATTGAAGTTGCAAAACAGTGCGATTCATTTATTGTTTCATAAAAGTGATAGTCAGTCCTGTTTTTTAATTCCAAGAACTGGACAAAGCCTTTATGATGCAATGCTGCTGTCTGGCTACCTTCCTCTTAAATTTAAAAACTGTTATATCACATTTACAAGTCATACCAAAGGTTATAATGTGATATGTAACGACCATAAATCGCCCCAGCCAGTGATTTTCTCATGATCCATATTCTAAATGAGAATAACGCCAGCTAATACTAACTTGTACAAACTTCTGTACTACCTCTCCTCCGAAGTATGACTCATATTCCAAGTCAATGAAGGCATAGAAGATCAGTCAAGTGAGTATAAGCTATCTGTAATAGTAACTGTGATACGTACCCTTAACCTAAGGCAAGAATTAAAGAAAGTTATGACTACTTAAATTGTGAAAGAAATGCAAACCACATGTATGAAAAATTAAATATATATATATACATAGATTCCCCCCCAGTGGCACAGCGGTATGTCTGCGGACTTACAACGCTAGAAACCGGGTTTCGATACCCGTGGTGGGCAGTGCACAGATAGCCCATTGTGTAGCTTTGTGCTTAACTTCAAACAAACAAACAAAATATACATAGACACTATATTTGTGGATAAAAAGTATTGTTATAGATATCAAATGATAAAATTTGGTAGAAAAATTACATATTGATTCAAAAGCAATATGAAATTAATATATTGTTACGTCTCCGTTTGTTAATTAATTTTCCGTAACTTCGTTCCGACG